CAGTGCATGACTGTAAAATTTTGATTAATTGAATTGTTGTCGATTGCTTGAAAACTGAAAAGCATGACGACTTCGTAGCGTAGCGTGGCATAACTTAATATCATTTTTGATGTTGCATTTCTGGGCCTTTTCACGTGATGAATTAATTAACTTCCTGGTAGTTGATCATATCTTGATAGACTGAGATACTTTCCTCAAATATAATACAATATGTCCCTTTGTACGTATGCTATATATTATATGAGTCTAACACTTTCGGCCGACGCAAATCGGCTGATATTAGCTTAGAAAATATTCACGGATCACTTCCTTGTTGAAAGTACGATCTGACTAAACAATATTTTTTCTTTCTGCTTAAAAACAACGCACTTCGAGTCCCGTGGTTTAAACAATTGTAGCTCGACCAACAGCTGGTAGTAGAATGTATAGTAAAACTAAACGATCATGGTCGAATAACATTAAAATAGAAAGCAGTTTTCATTTTGGATTTATAGGGAAAAGTGGTAACAAAAAATATGTTTCGAGCTTCAAGCAAGAAATTAAGTTTCAGATATCTGTTTATGACGGTTGATATTTCAAGTAAAATACAGTACATGCAATTCAATAATTTTATTACTATGTTGCAATCATCAAATGCAAATTATAATAGCCACAATTTAACCTGAATAATAAGGCCTTTCCATAGTGGATTTAAATTCCACCAAGTAATTTATATAAGTAAAAAAACACCGAAGTTTGTAATAGATCACTTTCGATAGATTCATTATTTCAATTATAGTTTCAGTTTACAAAAGTCTTGAAGAATTCCAGATTGATAAAATGATCAGAAAAAGTTCGGCGGGTGCTTTTTAGTATTATATAGTAGAGAAGAATGCTGAGAGTGAAAAGAAATAAATTTATTCAGTGTCTATCTTAGTTAGTGTTACGTCCATGGAAATCAATGAATTTATTCTGCGGGTATAGCCAAGAAATAATTTTTCTGAATAGCGCCTTTTATTAGCTACATGTGAGTTTACTACTATTCCAAAAAAATTTTAATTAAGGAAGGCAGTAATGTGGATTGGTGATCGCATACATATGCTGTAGCTAATTTTCTTATCCACGCGAAGAAATAACAAATAACCCAACTAATGATGCGTTATGATTAATAAGGTCAATAGGTCCGCTTCTAAAAGTTATATATATTCAAACCATGACAGCTGTAGTCATGAGAAAGTTTCTTAGATGAAAAATATATTTAGATTTCGTATCACATTGTTCAACTAACCTACATCTGACCCTTTGTAATTACATCGTCGTAACCGATTTTAGCATATAATGCATCCGGCCAGCAAGAACATCGACGCACTTGATTAAAGGGTTCATTAGAGGACTTTTTTGACACGGGTCACAAAAGTTTATGGCAATGCAATGAATCACTATAACATAAGGAGTCAAATACGTTATTTGGCAGGACGAAACGGGAAAATTTGTTTTACATTTTTGTAATCACCTCCGCTGATCACCATAAATTGGCGAACCTAGTTATTTTTCAAACACACAACAGAAAGTATTCAATGGTCAACAATGACAGTGAATATATTCGACAGAGGAGAGACAGTAATGTGCGAAATCCAAAACAGCCTGGTTTATATCTAGAAGACATTAACAATATATATTTCTTCGCAGTAAGAGGTTACGTATATCTGAATACCGATTAACATTTTCATTTCATATAGTTGCTTTCACTACTGCGGTTCAGAACAAACTGCCGTGTTTATATTTCATCCAAAAAGCATTGTGGCGTAAGTCAGTTTGGAAGCGACAAACGTCCTCTTGCAAGAAACCTCTACCCCCAGGGTAAAATGTGTTCGGATGAACATTGCGGGGAAACAACTTTTTGAAATGAGGAATTGTAAGAAATGCTTCGGCATTTCGTTTAAATGTTTATTGTAGCTTGTAATATAGTCAGAAAAAAGATGAACCAATAAATTAGTTTTCTGAACTTGTTATGTGCAGATGATTGCTGACTGCAATAGCACAACAACTAATATGTGTGGTTTGATTTTATTTCGTGGCATAATAAGATATTTATATACAGTTACGCACTCATTGCATTATGCACGGTTATGATTGTTTTCGCGATCCCAATATCGCCACGCGCATTGATTGACGCAACTATTCCGACGCATTAGCGATTGAAAATTTTTTTTTTTGAAATATTTGTGTTGTGGTCTTCGAAAGTATCTTGCTCGATCTTGCGTTGCTGGGGCGAGCTATAATTAGATATAAGGATAATTAACGTTTTTTTTATATTTAATTTTACTATTTTGTAGCTAATCTTAATATTGTCCCACCCAACGTTAAGAAAGCGGTAATAATTTTATCGGCCTTACAGTGTCATACTTGAATACATAGAATCCATCGAAATCAGGTGTGTATTATATGCTGCATATAAAGTTATAGACAGTTACAGACAAATAAATCTGTATTATTTTAGTTGTGACTAAACTTAAAAATATTCTACATGCAAATCAGATGACAAGTCTTAAGATTTCGGAGAATTCAACTCCCACTCATTACTATTTTTGCCTGGTACGGCAATAAACACACCAAGTCACAATGGTCAAATTATTTTAAATTGTTCATTTCAATAGCACAGCAGTAATGTTCCCGGAACTTAAGTATTGCTGACTCGCACAAGTAATCTTAGAAGCTCCCGCCATACAAGAACCTATCACTTAAAACAGTGAGCGTGCTTGATCTCGTGAACATGAATCACCATCTCTTATGACTCGGTCATTCAAAGCAGTATTAGTGTCTGGTATAGAAAAGTGAACGAAATTGCTTTATTTACTCCAATGAATGAGCCGCAAAAAGAACAGATGTCCTAGGGATATTTTTCAATGAAAGAATATTTTTACATAATGACTAAAATAGAAAATGTTGTCGCAAAAGAAAGGAATAGAAGTTTTATATTCATGTATTTATATTTACAAACATTGTTCTTGCTTATATGATGTCATTGGTAATTTTGTATAATAATAGCATTCCAATGTACAGATTTTACAGCTTCGACAATGTGTTTATGGAAAATACAAAAGTTGGATTTCCCCTACTGGGTAGATGGTCTTTATATCATGCCTTTTTATCCGGTCAATGTTAGCGATTTAAAATAGAAATGAATATAAGTTACAGACAGAAAAAAACAAACGAGAACTGTTTGATGCTTTTCTCCGATTCTATTATCGACTGTATCGCTTCAGTAATTTTGTCAAAACGTATGTAAAAACAAGTTTCGTCTTTTGAAATATTCATGAACAATCACGATGTTAAAAATAGGTTCTTTTTGAAGGAATTGTGATATCGTCATGACATATTATACATAATTTGTTGACGAGAGGTTTCACTGATACCCCTACTTTGGTGTTGAGTTACGGGCGGATTATATATAGAACAAGCAATGACATCGGCACTAAAATTTATATTGGGTAACATTGTGGCCTTACATATGGCAAAATGTAATCTCACGGCACGACCGAAAATACTTGAATATTTATTTTATTTATCAGATAATGCTACGGAACTGCTGAAGATTTTTTAAGACTTAGCGCACAGAATTTATACTTTTCAAGAACAACAATCAGAACAAACTAATATTTATTAAAAGTTAGAATAATACAGATCTAGAAAAAATCAGGTATCATAATTTCTTTTAGCAGATATGTACGCGGTACGTATTTGATGACTATTTTTTTTTTGGAATTAGTTGCACAGTTAAGTATTAGTAAGCAGACTATTGTCTATAACGGGAATGAACAATCACACGATAAATACTTTTGATGCCTGTACAAAGTCATCACCAAGTTATAGTTCAATAAAGTTCACGAGATATGGTGAGGAAGTGGCTGTAAATACGAAAAGACAATTCACGGATGATATTATGAAGTTGACTGAAATAGGATTTGTGAAATGCCTTTCAGAGTCATTCTACTCTTGACTCCATATAACAACGGAGGCAGCAGTGGATAAATAGACTTTTGATTTTGTACCAAAACTGCGGCGATATCTTCATATTTTATTATTTTTAGATTATTTTTAGATAGAGTTGTGGATCACATCCTATCATACTAACCTAAATGATCTGACCATAGTTTACTGTAAAACTCATTTACATATTTACAAATTGTTTAGGTTTAATATCTGCCAAATCCTTTTTAAATTTCCGCATTTTATCATAGTGCAAATTTTGAATTTCCAATTTCATAAGCATAACAAAGTATACGGGACTGCGCATATTATTTATAGATCATATATGATTTCCTTGGCTAGTTTCTAGTCGGGTTATTTTGCATGGCTGACGTGAATCATAGTCGATAAAACTCCAAACAATGGCAATAGTGAAAATTGTAATTTCCTCATGTCGTCTTAGATTGAAGATGAGTAATCGCAGCAGTTTATAATATATTGTTGATGCATTATATTTAGTAAATGATGAATATTACTTTCCCTGTTCTGTTGCTAAAAAGGAGCATTTAATGTCAGAATGGTATATTGCCCAGGTTATTGCGTCATAAACAAGGTTGTTAGTTGTAGTAATGCTTCAGATAAAAATAACTCCGAGAGAACAGTTCCTTCGACAGTTGCGTGAATTTTCGAGCAAGGTTGTAATGTATACTATCTAACTGCTCACAAATACGAGTAAATCAGTTGCCATTCAAGCCTAAATGAAACGAAAAATATAACAAAGCGACGAAATACAAAGTGAATTGCGTAGTAAAAGGAGATTAAGAACTAGATTGTGTAATTTAGTAAGATGATGAAGACCCAACATATGAAATATATTTTGCCACTTGGTAGACTACTTGCTCACAAAAGTATTACTGCACGTTTATGCCTAAACATGTGAGGCACTCGAGATTTTGAATTGTGTACAGTCAGCCTCTCAGTGTTGTGAGTTTCACGGTCATCATTCCCGTGGTCAAATTAACCACCTTATACTTTTTTTATAAGAATTACAGTTTGTATTAACCAGAGTAACATTTCAAAATGGATACAACTCCATTAAGCACCGGTCTTTTTACTGCAAATGAAACTACGACTCAAGCACCGCTGCCAGATTATTCCACTTTTCTTGTGGTATGCGAAGTTGTAAATGCTTTTGTATTTGTTTCAATGCTTTGGATCATGATATCCATGATCATGCATGGATCAAGGACAAATAAGTGGAAAAAAAGTGGACCTTCAAGCATGAATAGTGGTATGATTTATACTGCATGTATCTGTGTTGCTGCTCTATCACTGCCGAGGTTAATTTTGAACGGAGTGATTTTTCACATCCAAAATATTGAAGGAGGATTAGAATGGTGCGAGTTTGTGTTTGACGCATCAGATGTAACTGGGTACGCAACTCTTTACCCGATATATTTATTTTTATGGTTACGTCACAGAGTCATATACAACCACCCAACCGTGCATGCTTTAACTGGAAGGTTCGTCAAAGCTCTCAGTTGGGTTACGATTGTTGGCCTGACCTTGATGTCAATTGGAGTTCTACTTTTTCTTGTTATACCCACGTCGTATCTCGCTACCCCGCAAGGATGCATTCTCGACCCCAAAAGTGATGCTTCAATGGGCTATTATGTACTTGCTGGTCTTATGATCCTAGCGCAAGGCTTGCTTCTCGGGCTATTTATTTATCCAATGGTTCGCACCAATGAAGCCCAAAAGCAAAATTCCAAATTGGAGTCGAACGATCGTAAAGCTAGTTCTACATCTGGAGATTTGAGGAATTCGGAAGATAGCTCGAAGTTTGACCGACTAATCTGTTGGAAACGAAACAACAAGAAACCTAAAAAGAAGGCTAATTCAGTAACAAGAACCATCCGTCGTTCCACTATTAGCGCGATTATTACTGTCATAACCGATCTTATAATTGTTGCAATTGCAACATGGATAATGCCTTCCACAACTCCCCTGGCAGCAACAAATGCATTTTACAGCGTGGGAATTTTAATAAACGTATTCTGTGCTTTGGCAACGTTTGGAAGTAACGAGAAAATCCTGACAGAGTGTTGCAGAACATGCAGAAAAGATGCAAGTCCGGACTCAGAGACAATCGATTCGTCGAGTCAGCAGAGATCGCAACCATCTAACAACCAAAATGGAACAAGATTAACTGCTTTGAATAGCTCTAGTGTACCATGAAAACAAACTTTTAGACTTTGTTACTATATAGAGTAGACTGTTCGTTATGATGAATTAAATTGTTCTCCTTTGTGACAACGTGAATTCACCATATATATGCAATATTGCATATTTGATCGGGGTGCAGTCCCTTTGCAGGATGATTTGAAGCACAGTGCTTGCATGTAAATTGGATTCGATAATATGTTTGTTGACAAATGGTTCAAGAAAACTTTAAAAGTCAGATACATGGTAGACTATAAGGTTCGCGCGATGTGTTTCCCACCAGAATACATTACCCCATTCGGTCGACGATACAGCCTTGCACTCTGCCATTCCAAGTCAAAATTCAAAGTGGATATTCATAATGAACCGTGATGTTTCAAAATTTGTTGATATGTTCTATTATTTTCTATTTCTAATAACCTACTTTGTTTGTTCTGCTTTATTATGCTATATATACAAGCATCATACTTCGTGGTTTTGAACTCTATTTTATTTTTCCCAAATATATTCATCGTTCTGTATATATATATACGTATATACAAGTTATTTACCAAATCCCAACATATTATTGTTCAAATATCGTTCACTTCTGCGAATGTTTCTCTGTATTTGCATCATTGATACTACTGTAGCTGGGAAATATTAGTAGGCTACGATATGCAAGTGATAAATTGCAATATTTATAGTAATGTCTGTCCTCTGGATGACGTATGAGAGCAGTGTTTTTTATGAATTGGTAGAAAAACCAGTATTAACATATTTTTCGCTTACCAACAACTACAGATTGTGTTACTTTTCATTCAACGATATTTCAAATAAATACTACTTTTTCTGATCGTTTATCTCAAATTCATCGAGGTGTTTATAAACGTGTGGACTTGTTAATAACCCTGGAGATGAGCGCAATCTAATTGGAATATTTTCTATCTCCGATAAAAATTGATATACAGAAGAAAAAACAGAAATGTCATCAATAGTTGGGTGTATGAGAACGAACCACTTAAAAATCCATAAGAATGCATCAAAGAAAACTAAACATTTCGAGACTTGGTAGAGTTTAAAGAAATTATTACAATATAACAAACGCAAAACCACATGATTCTAAAATGTTGCTTTATATTATTTTGTCACCGACACAACTTGCCGACATATTAAGCAAACATTGTGGTATTTTCCCTCCCATATCCAGTTAAAAATCTGTTCGAATTCGTCAGCGTTCTTTTCAAACTCATGTTTAGAATACAACTTACAAATGAATGCAGATAGATTGATTACGAAATGTGAGGCACATGGAGTTAATTACTATATTTTCTGACATATAGGCTGCAATTTAGGAAATACTGTTCAGGCTGGTTGCAAAAATACTCGACAGAAATTACATTGTTAGGTCATAACAATAATATTGAGTTATCAGGTATAGCCAACCTATGCTAATAGAATCCGCATTCGATATTTAGTCTCCTATGATGCCAAATTTGTTAGCATATTATATTCCCGACAAATAACAATTTATACTGCCAAGCGCATCATTCAACTTCGCTAGTTGCCACAGGCAGCCATAGCACTTGTCAATTCAGTGACATTAGTGATGGAACAATATGTCAAAAGACTTTTCTAGTTAATTTTATGACGAAACAACAGTGAATGCGATTTTTCGATTACTCTCCAAATGCGACGCGGGCCACAGATAACAAAGCTGCGAGCCACATGTGGCCCGCGGGCCTGGGTTTGGACCACCCTGCTCTAGGCATTCTCTAATCTAGAATATATCTATAGACAGCAATATATAATTACGATTGAAAGGATGTATGCCACGCTTGGAGATTTGCTCACTCAAGAAGATTAACACTAATTCTTACACGACTCGATATCAGTAAAATGGATTTTATTAAAGCTTATACTTACAAAACGGAGTTTAATATTTACTCAAACAATCAATATTTAAGTATTAGGTTAAGGCTATTCTTAGGAGGATTAATTCTGAATATATATATATATACTTGGTTCTAACACACATATATGTTTTAAGTTTAGGGAGTTTACACATACAAGCATTGTGCATTTGAGTCTAAATTTATGGATTGAGTCAAACTGTAACATTCGTGTCCGAACATTCGTAGTTGTGACAACAGGCTGGGAAGAATGCCTGACAATAAAAAATGCCGGGCGAAAGATTCGAAGCCACGCCTAGACATTTATCCAGCAAGTCAAGATTTCAAGAAATTCTATTAAATAATTAAATTGTATCGCTAATACACATTACAGTAGTTGGAATATGGTAGAATACATGGAGGTTTTATTTAAATCTACGTTGTTTCGTGCTGACTTTTGACTGAAATTACTTCGTGAAACAATTTCAGTAGACTTGATGAATAATAGCCACCAGTGCGTCAGCATGCAGGTAAATCTTTACTGTATCATTAGACCTCTTAATTGATGCTTTGTTAAACTTGAAAATACTTTGACATTATATTGAACGAGTAGTAGATCCACTGATGCATCATGATATCATACTTTCATTCTCACTTGGTGTCGCTCTTCAGTCGTTTTGATGGGAACTTGTCGCATTTGATATGCGCTTCATATGTTAGTTAGTGTACCTGGAAACTGTAACCACATCTGTTTATCGAAAACTTTTTTGCTTTACTAAGCGCTTCATTATTACGACGAATTGATTTGGAAACTTTTCGTCTGTCATCTTGACCTGTATCGATCGAGTTCGGTTTCGGGTGGCGTCATCTCACTCGACCGCGAGCTCCGCTCGGTTCGGGTGTTCGAGATCCGAATTTCCATTTGAATACAGCAGCATTTTTAACTCTAATGTTTTGATCGACTGAAGTATCACCGTACAATCAATTTATATTGTACTATTAAATTGTAGTCTTTGATATTTTATTGCAGATCTAAGGATTTCCTAACGTTGATATCTTGAAAATAATCTAGGGTGGCAGCATTGTGATTAAAGCGGAGTCAGTGTCGAAAGAACTAATCAAATTGTATATTAGTAACATCGCGAAATACGAATTAAAAATAAATATAATTGGGCAGTTTAAAACACTTTTTATGACCGTGGATTGCCGTGATATTTCTTAGTAATGTTCACTTGTCGACCCAACCGCAGGTCAATTTAAATTAATAAAGCAAGACATTATAAATAGACTCGGATTAGTAGTCAGTTTAATACATTGCGCAACTTCAAATACATTACGCGACAACATAACACAGCAGGAAAAACATAAACCGTCGAAAAAGTGGACTTTTCTCACAAGTGGCCTGTCTAATTGCGGCGACAGTTTCCAGATTTCTTCCGATTTACCTTTTGGTAATTCTGACGGAGCCCTTGAACGTATTTCAAGTCCTATCGAACCTTCCTTTACGACATTTTGTGTCGGGTTTATATGCAAAATTCTAGGTAATTCTTCAGATGAGATAGCGATTATAGACCACCGACTTATCGATCTAGCGGCGTGTATCCTTCGCTGTGACTCAATAGTGACACCGCGTGTCCCATCACTAATTATTTGATAACTCGCCAATTAAACGACATAATTCATCTAAAATCAATAGTTTCTGGTCCGAGATATGATGAATGCACATGCATGATTTGGAGCAGATTCAACCTCGCTTGCGTGAGATATCGCGTAACATACGAAAGTGTCTAACAGACAGACAGGCAAACAAACAGACAAATACCTATCAACATACTTACCGATCGAGATCGATAAGTAATAAGTATTTTGAGATCTTTGTACAAAGCCCCGGCCCTATAAAACACCACCTCCTTACAAATAATCCAGTTAAGGTTTTATGGTGAGGGCTATGAGTGCAGATTGTGCCGCAAATTCACATTCAAGGCTAAGACAATGATTAATCTGTTAAAGGTATCGATGATCCAACAAAACAAGATGTACTGGAAATAGCGTTGCCTGTAATAGGATGTATTGGAAATAGTGTTGCCATTTGCCAGTAATAAGATGTATTGAAAATAACGTTACTAGTAATATGGTCTCTTCCGTTTTCTCGGTACAGTCTAAAAGTTTATGACTGCAAGCCAAACATACACTCAATCGCCTGAATGCTTCGCGGGCCGCACGGAATTTCTTGGCGGGTCACAGGTTCGTCACCTCTGTGTTATAGCTTACGTTGAATACAAATGATGTAGCACCCTTCTTAATATTTGCGCCGGATATGTATATAACGAAACGCGTTCAACCTCAAGAGATGAGCCAATATATCATTATCGAAAATCGTCAAATTGGAAAATCACCCCTAAACCCTATTATATATGAGCTAATGATATGGTATAATACAGGGGGTAATTTCACAGTATCTTACGTTTAGGAATTTTTGGACAAAGCGACGGAATTATTGCAATGGATGCTGAAAGCCGAAAACACATTAGTAAGCGACTCTTCCAGTAGTATTTTAGAAAAGAACTCAGATTTGTTATGTTAACAAGATCACGTGCATGGTTTGATAGAAAAGGAATATCTTTACTTTAAAATCTATTTGATTGAATTGATTGATTTTGGTAATTTTCGGTTTTATTCAGTAGCTAAGTTTTTGTGTAAATTACAAAAAATATTGCATTAGAACATATAATTGAATATTCGACCATAATTTTCAGAGCATCGTTGAATTCGGAATGAAACGAGGAGTTAGAAAACAGTTGATAGTAGAAGGTACAAACCTACTGGAAAATGGAGAAAGCGAGGACGATGTTATTCGGAGTGTCCTACGAAACATATCAGAAAAATGGGATCGCGTCAAACAATTGCACTATCGTACGAAACATCAGCATTATGTACAACAGACAGACAAACAAAAATGTTCAGAGAGTAATGGAACTGAAAATAGAAGTTTTTTATGTTTACCTACGTTGGACAAATTCGGTAAAACGAATTCCAACAATAAATCCGAGTATTTGGTAAGTATTATAAAAGTATCAGTAAGTTTCTTTGAAAATTAAAAAAAAATGTATCGAATCAGGTTTCTCGAAAATTTTTAATAGACCCAACTACACGCCGAATATTGTTCATTAATTCTAAACTATAGCATTATCCAAGAGCTCGGGAATAATTACATTCTTGGAAAGAGAAATAAGAGTATACTTCGTCTGTATTCTACTTTTTAGCAGTTGGTTTCAATACGTATTCGTGTAACCTAATTACATTCTAAACGAGTTAATTTTAATGAAGATTTCCCTTATGAGCGAAAATAATTCACTTATCATTCTCTCATCATTTACTTGTGTAATATAGCAATGTAATACAACGAGATCAATTTTGTGATATTATGTAATGTTTTTCATTTGGGAGCAAGGTCACGACAATTTACGTAAATTAAAAAAAGATGAGAGGCAATCGGACTGAATTTATGTAACATAAATTTTCTGTCTAAGGGTTGCATCGTATTTTGAATTGTAAAAACATATAATTAATTAATATGACCGCAGTTTGTAATGAATTCATAAGTATTTAAAACTATTATTATTACGAAATAAATTTACAGTGTGCGTTGTCGAAAAATCAATTGACCTGTAACGAACAAAATATTTCGAATACTGAAAGAATCACTGGACCAAGAGGGACATCTTTGCCACGTTTAATAATATCCGGTAATATTAATATTGTATAAAGTCAAAGATGACAACAATGCATAAGCTTGTGATATTGCACCAAACAACTAGTAACTCATTTATTAAGATGAAGTGCTCTTATATGATATTATATAGTATAAAACTAAATCAAAATATGCTAAAAATAACATAAAGTTTTCAAATATTTTCGATATCTAAGGATATTGCCCTTGTGGGTATCGAATAATGAACAAAAGCTTGAAGGCATTAATAACTTGTTTTGTCACATTTCGCATAAATTAGTTGACAACAGCTTAGGCAATGGAACTTTAACTGTCAAAACAGTTATAACTAACACGTTTTTTGAACATCTTTTGAATTTAAAAATTCAGTCAACATTTATATCCCAATATAAATGCAGATGCGGAAGAAGTTCAAAGCAGTACTTCTAATTTCTCGGAGAGTCCTCCTCCTACATCTCAATTATCACTATATTTGAATGGAGACAGTCCGTCTCCAAGCTCTACGGTTTCAATAGATTCTTTGGAATGGGATCCAATGTCCGAAACAAGTAAGTGGATGATGCATACATGATTAACAAAATGTCTGCTGCGCAAATGGCTATAACTTGAGACGGAATATAAGAATGAACTAGAGCTGCGTGCAGCTTTAACAGGCTTCCCGCGTAAAAAAAGCTGAAGACGCGTTTTGCTCACTGGAGCGTGAAAGCGTGGTCAGTCATGCATAAAATTTGCAGTTTATGATGGGGGATTCATTATCTGCATGTGATGTAAATTTCAAGTCTCTAAGTAGTGGCGTTCTCGAGAAGAAGATGAAAATGTAAAATCCTATATTGCTCACTGGAGCGTATCGCCGAGGTCACTCATGCGTATCCTTGATATGTCGTATCCGGAACATGTCCATTAATCATTGTTATGAATTTCAACCCAATAGCATGTATCAATTTTGAGAAATCGCAAAAAAAACTGAAAACGCGTTTTGTTCACTGGAGCGTGAAAGCGTGGTCAGTCATGCATAAAATTTGCAATTTATGATGGGGGACTTATTATCTGCGTGTGATGTTAATTTCAAGTCTCTAAGTAGTGTCGTTCTGAAGAAGAAGATGAAAATGTAAAATCCTATATTGCTCACTGGAGCGTATCGCCGAGGTCACTCATGCGTTTCCTTGACATATCGTATCCGGAACATGTCCATTAATCATTGTTATGAATTGCAACCCAATACCATGTATCAATTTTGAGAAATCGCAAAAAAAACTGAAAACGCGTTTTGCTCACTGGAGCGTGAAAGCGTGGTCAGTCATGCATAAAATTTGCATTTTATTGTTAGTTGAGAACTTCTGCACATTTGAGGTGAATTTCAAGTTTGTAGGACCAATTTGAAAAAAAATAATAAAAATAAATAATAACTAGAGCTGCGTGCAGCTTTAACAGGCTTCCCGCGTAAAAAAAAAACCGAAGACGCGTTTTGCTCACTGGAGCGTGAAAGCGTGGTCAATCATGCATAAAATTTGCAATTTATGATGGGGGACTTATTATCTGCATGTGATGTAAATTTCAAGTCTCTAAGTAGTGTCGTTCTCGAGAAGAAGATGAAAATGTAAAATCCTATTCTGCTCACTGGAGCGTATTGCCGAGGTCACTCATGCGTATCTTTGACATATTGTATCCGGAACATGTCCATTAATCATTGTTATGAATTTCAACCCAATACCATGTATCAATTTTGAGAAATCGCGAAAAAACTGAAGACGAGTTTTGCTCACTGGAGCGTGAAAGCGTGGTCAGTCATGCATAAAATTTGCAACTTATGATGGGGGACTTATAATCTGCATGTGATGTAAATTTCAAGTCTCTAAGTAGTGTCGTTCTCGAGAAGAAGATGAAAATGTAAAATTCTATATTGCTCACTGGAGCGTATCGCCAAGGTCACTCAAGCGTATCTTTGACATATCGTATCCGGAACATGTATATTAATCATTGTCATGAATTTCAACCCAATAGCATGTATCAATTTTGAGCAATCGCAAAAAAACTCAAGACGCGTTTTGCTCACTGGAGCGTGAAAACGTGGTCAGTCATGCATAAAATTTGCAAATTATGATCGGGGACTTATTATCTGCATGTGATGTAAATTTCAAGTCTCTAAGTAGTGTCGTTCTCGAGAAGAAGATGAAAATGTAAAATCCTATATTGCTCACTGGAGCGTATCGCCGAGGTCACTCATGCGTATCCTTGACATATCGTATCCGGAACATGTCCATTAATCAATGTTATGAATTTCAACCCAATACCATGTATCAATTTTGAGAAATTGCAAAAAAACTGAAAACGCGTTTTGATCACTGGAGCGTGAAAGCGTGGTCAGTCATGCATAAAATTTGCATTTTATTGCTAGCTGAGAACTTCTGCACATTTGAGGTGAATTTCAAGTTTGTAGGACCAATTTGAAAAAAAAATAATAATAATAATAATAACTAGAGCTGCGTGCAGCTTTAACAGGCTTCCCGCGTAAAAAAACTGAAAACGCGTTTTGCACACTGGAGCGTGAAAGCGTGGTCAGTCATGCATAAAATTTGCAATTTATGATGGGGGACTTATTATCTGCAAGTGATGTAAATTTCAAGTCTCTTAGTAGTGTCGTTCTCGAGAAGAAGATGAAAATGTAAAATCTTATATTGCTCACTGGAGCGTATCGCCGAGGTCACTCATGCGTATCCTTGACATGTCGTATCCGGAACATGTCCATTAATCATTGTTAAGAATTTCAACCCAATAGCATGTATCAATTTTGAGAAATCGCAAAAAAACTGAAGACGCGTTTTGCTCACTGGAGCGTGAAAGCGTGGTCAGTCATGCATAAAATTTGCAATTTATGATGGGGGACATATTATCTGCATGTGATGTAAATTTCAAGTCTCTAAGTAATGTCGTTCTTGAGAAGAAGATGAAAATGTAAAATCCTATATTGCTCACTGGAGCGTATCGCCGAGGTCACTCATGCGTGTCCTTGACATATCGTATCCGGAACATGTCCATTAATCATTGTTATGAATTTCAACCCAATAGCATGTATCAATTTTGAGAAATTGCAAAAAAACTGAAGACGCGTTTTGCTCACTGGAGCGTGAAAGCGTGGTCAGTCATGCATAAAATTTGAAAATTATGATGGGGGACTTATTGTCTGCATGTGATGTAAATTTCAAGTCTCTAAGTAGTGTCGTTCTCGAGAAGAAGATGAAAATGTAAAATCCTATATTGCTCACTGGAGCGTATCGCCGAGGTCACTCATGCGTATCCTTGACATATTGTATCCGGAACATGTCCATTAATCATTGTTATGAATTTCAACCCAATACCATGTATCAATTTTGAGAAATCGCAAAAAAACTGAATACGCGTTTTGCTCACTGGAGCGTGAAAGCGTGGTCAGTCATGCATAAAATTTGCATTTTATTGCTAGCTGAGAACTTCTGCACATTTGAGGTGAATTTCAAGTTTGTAGGACCAATTTGAAAAAAAATAATAATAATAATAAATAATAATAAATAATAATAATAAAACACAGGAATACAATAGGTTCCCTGCTGACAAGCAGCGGGAAGCCTAATAATAAATAATAATAATAATAATAATAAATAAATAATAATAATAATAAAACACAGGAATACAATAGGTTCCCTGCTGACAAGCAGCGGGAAGCCTAACTAGTTGAACGGGTTTAATTACGCCAACGCTTTTAGATCTGTCCATTGTGATAAAAATTGACGTGGTCTGCGAAAATTATAAAAAAAAAAGCCATTGCTATAGGCAATAAAATTTTATGTTTTCAAATTACTGTAATATGAGTTTACAAAATTTAAAACCAAATATTATATTATATATAATAATATTTAATTGCTCAGATACATAATGAAAAAACGTAATTATTTTCTCAAAACAGAAAAGTGAAAATATTTGGATATTTTTATCAGTAAAGATATAATTACATCGTTGTTCGTGGTCTAAAAAGAATGATATCGTGACTCAAGATTAAAATAACTTTTTTTGGGCGAAAAATATCAGTCATCACATTGACCGTGAAAAATGTGAAAACATATCCAGACAAAAAAATTTATATTCTATTTTTATTCAAGCACGGTATATCTGAGTGATTAACGAAAAACTAATTATATCTAACTCGCTATGATTTTCAAAGCTGAGTATTGCTCATACTACGGAATCAATGGGTTAATGTAAATGATTTATAGTTGGCTGAGGAAAATTTCGCTCAAATCATGTTCCTGTGTCATTAATTTTGTGAAAAGCTCTCACATTGAAAAGATGATAAATATTCGTACGGTATGAAGAAATATATTGGGGGAATTTTTTTAAAGAAGGTTACGCGCATTCAACTCAAAAGTGAGATCCATCTTTAAACAAAGTTATGGACGATCAACAAAATACTAAAAGCTACTGAAACTGTATGGATTTGTGATTGGGCAATATCAGCCATCAAATACCAATTCACACGAGACTTACAGCAATTCAATAAGATAAGGAAAATCCTTGGAGTATTGAATTACACATAACTTGATGATATATTGAAATTATTACCTTATGAGCCAAATTACAGGAATCAAATAAATAGGGGTTCATGTTTGTCTTCAACCCTCTAGTTTACGCCCCCGTTAAGTTCCTGAAAGCTGGTACATCCACAGCTCTGCTTGTGATGTTTTATTCTTGTTTATACTAATTCTGCAGCAAATGTTTCTGATGAGGACATGAACAGAATTCAGTATTTTGAAGATGGTATGACTGCAAAACAATTGCCAGATGAAATATTCTGCTTTCACTTGTGGCTCAAATGTGAGGAACTTCGGACTTATAAAGAAATAGATGAGAAATTTGGATGGGATGATAAATATTTAGCGAAAATGTTGCATCAGTGTGTGGTAAGCTTTACTATTTATGTTGGTGTACTCAAATAAATATGAGTGCAAGGAAACAATGGTTCTGGCGGGTATACGTTAACTAAACGATTGAAAACTTGCACTTTATGACGAATAGTGTTATAATTCAGTCCTTTCTGTAATATACATATAAGGTATCAAATCTGGAATCTATATTGAACAGTCGTAAAAAGTGTACAATCACCAATGCAAGCAGAAATGGCTGTTTATAACCGAATATCGACTTAAAAATAAGTAAATATTATGGCATGATTCTTATATGACCTATCGCACTACGGGCATACTTTCAATCACCTTGGAATGTTTTTATTCTTCCTATTCAATTAAATTTCTCAATAAACGAGGTATTAAACACCTGGAATTAATTCCATCCTACGAACTATCATTAAAACGAGAAAAGTTATTTTTTGAAAGAAATATTCAAGTTAATCGACTTCAATAAACAAAGTAAGGGCGGATATGCGAACCACCAAAAAGCTAACTTACATTAAAAAAATTACAAATGATTCGCATCTGCATGGAAATCCTATTTCAGATCGTCGCATTATTTGATAACTTTCAGAGTGATTTACAATTACTACTTTCTTATGAATACTGACTCGACGTTTTTGTTCAGTCTCGAAATGAAGACATTTCTAAAAAATCAGAGGCATTTGACATCATATCATCAACGGCAGAAAATTTTCTTGACAATTCCAACCAAACATCAAACTCAAACTGGAGCGCTATCAATGAAATCAAACTTAGATGGGCAATAGTCATGTTGAAGCAACGCTTACTCAATCTTCAAATTTTTATCTGTGATCTGCAATGCATTTTAGAAAGAAGATTAGAACTGATTGACAAGGTAAAATGATATTATCTTAGGTTACTAGTAGAAAATAGCTTCGGGGTCATAGTTAATTTCCGGCCAAATTACCAATACCTGTTTGACTACATGCCTTAACCTCGATTGCATTATTTATTAATACAGGATAATTTTTATCGTAACCTTCAGTGCCTGATGATTGAAAAAACCTGTTAACTTACTGACATTCCAAAGTGAATGAAGTCAAAACATACTCTATGTTGTTGGTCGCTTAATATATTCGTCTTTTGTTTGACAATTTTATTATATGTCACAGACGGTAACAGATTAATATTCACGCTAAAATGCGGGGCTATTACTTGGGGTTACTTGTAAATTTCTGATTTCATTTTATAGTGTATATCTTTTTTGTTCGCAGTAATATTTCTAATTTTCGTAGACGACGATACTTACCATGAAATAACACTGTAAATTATTTTTAGAAATTTCAAACGAAAAATGTGATCAGACATCCCATAAATGATGTTTGGAGTGACTGCGGCACAATAACGAAGATAGAATGTGAATTTTCCGACGAGGATTACATCATAACAATATTAGAAATATAAAAATATATACGCTGTTTCAGCTGATCCCAAAAGGTGCGGCGCTGCAGAGACGAGGAAGAAGAGTTGACCTTTTACCTTTATTTTTAGGCATACATGTTTACAAACTTTAAATAGCATAATATACATATTAACTATCACAAAATTGAGTTTATTTGAAAGCAGCTTTTTTTCGTGTAAGAGCGCCGTGAGATTTTTTCCCTAATATGGCGCCGCACGAACAAAAAGTTTAGGAACCGGTATGGAAATGAAGATGAAAAAAATTGAATAGCATTGTATATTATCAAAATGAAATTTAATGTTTGCTTTTAAGTATTAAGTATTATTACTGATTAAGTAATTACGCTATGCGAAAAAAGATTGATGGATTCAATAGCTTTTTAATATCAGCACTAAATTGGACCTAATGCCAGTTCAAGCAGAAAATTTGTGTCGTGTGCATAGAGGCGGAGTCAGAAAATTATTCACAAACGCTAGCCTCTTTTATGCCCTTTATTTCAATTATAACAAGGCTTTTTTTAGAAGACTTAGAAACTGGATATTGCTTATCTGACGCGCACAACAAAAAGCGATTCATATTACCGTCCTATCTGATCAATTAACCAAAACGAATAAGATTTAAGCAGGGGATGCATGCTTTAAGTTCAAGTTTGATCTTGAAACGTTGGAAATCCTGTTACTCACATTGAATTGAAATAATGTGAATGCTAATAATGTAACAGAAATGTCGTAAAAATGAACAATGTTTTGCCGTATTTTATAAATAAAATATACCAAATCTGCAACAAATTCTTCATACCACGAGTTGTGAACGTAATCTTAAAAGCTGCTTGTTTGTTACAAAGTTAACATTTTTTTAAATATGTTTAAAACTTAATCGATGGCTATCTTTTGGTGTGCGTTATTATCATTATATATTATTATTTGGTGTGCTGCCGGAGGCAGCTAATTGCAAAACTTAAATCACGAAAATACTTTTCTGATTTGTGAAAAACAAGTTAGGTCATCGAATTTAATTAGTGTGGTCCACTTCTCCGTAAAATATTAGTAAAATATTGACGACTTCCAGGGATTAATTAACGAGAACGGCTCAAAACACAGGAAAAAAATGCCTTTGGTTCATGGAAAAATTAGGTAGATTTGATGGTACTTTCCTTAAAATTGCTTCGAAGTATATCATCGTAAATATGATGGAATGGCGATTGGCACGACGAATGTTTACATGCGGTAAATATAGACTAACAACGTGCAGAGCAACATCACTATATATATCTACCAAAACATACTTTTCACTTTCGCTCGATTTTATTATGCTATACGAATCAATGATCGTAGCGCACGTTTCAGTGCATATATCCAAAACAACTTTGTTTCGGTATTAGGAATTTACGACAGGAATCATTGTTAAAAGTAACACATCGTCGCGCTGATAACCAAATTGCGTAAGTCATATTTAGCAGGACATAAATACCTATTTTATGAAAAACTCAAAACCGCCAAAAATGACTTAGGCAATTCGGTTATTAGTCTGACGACATGTGTGTTAGTAATTTAAGGAAAACGAAAATAACACGACAAAGGACTACGTCCCGACATGTTTAGTCCAACCGGCCCGCTGATTCATAATCGAGTTCTCGAATAATCACACCACCAACGCACGCAATTACAATCCACCTGTAAGACAACGATGATTTCTGACTCCATCAAGACCTTGGGAGTGAGTAGGCGCTAATTTTGCAAAATTCGATGACATACGACGGGTCGAAAATCATTGCGATTGGGAAAATGAATCAATGCGATTGTAGCGTAGTAATGACTAACTAGTTTCACGGGTTAGTTTTTTTTATCTCCAATTCTATAGAAATAAATTTTTGAAGAAGTTCAATAGCTCGACTTGAAGTTAGTTGAAAACATCTCCGTTTCGATACACAGAAAAAATGTCTATTGCTCTAATTTTTGAAATTATATCTGAGAAACAACAGTTTTTCTTCCGGGAAGTCACAAAATTTAGATTGTAATTAGAAACACGCACGTCATAGGTAAGTAACCGAAAATCAAAGAAACTGAGAGTCAACTTTCGATGTAAAATATTTTCAACTTCAGCGCATCATTGAATCGTCTAATTCTTAATCAGTGAAATAGTACCCTTGGCGATACTCATGTGATTTTAATATGAAATAATGTGCAGTAGATTGATTATTGTGAATGAAAAACAATACCACATTTAGGGAAACAAGAAATGCTCAAGTATATGGTCTACAATTTCAGCCAAACATAAAAAAATTTGTGCCAAATGTTGAATTATAACTCGTTGCTAGATTATTCGTATTTTCCTACTTATTTTGTGTTAGAATTAAAATTATTTCGATTTTTCAAATTATAGCAATACTTTCTAAGGAGGATCCCAGTCGATTCCATCAATTCCGGCGCCCTAACGTAACTATAGGATGCGTCTGGGGCCACCCATGTAATTTATTCGAGGATAAGATGGTTTTTATTTTTCTGTAAATATGAAAATATGAATAAAAAATTTATTATAATCGAGCAGTTTATCACACATTTCATGTCCGTGGTATTTTAGCTAAAATGAGTTACGTTGAACAAAATTAATATACGGTTTAAAAAGCTGGTATCGGTCATGGATTTGAATATTTTACGCAATAGGAAAACGTCCCCATAGAAGTTGATACGTTTAACTATCATTATCGAAATTATATGCCAAAAACCGGGAAAGAGAATAAACTATTTCTGGTATAGTAATAACTACGGCTTTACATAATTTTCACTTTTTCGACGTACTAGAAATCAATTCGTAAACAGGAAGCCTTGCAAGGAAATGGGGACAATGCCCACACGCAATCATGCAAGATTGTCGCAACAATATGCGCGCACGCTCGCACAGAAGATAACAAACAATCAAAGTGGCGATTCTGTTTTATCGTCATTACAATATACGTGAAAACGCAAACAATAGTTTGAAGATTTCCAGGCTTGTCAATGGGACATAATTTTCTGTCCCACTCTATCCAAATAGCAATTTATGCCTTTCCCGTTCCATCTCATGATATTCCCAAGGTACTAATGTATGTATATATATTAGTACCGAGATGCAAAAACTCGAAAATACTTCGACGAGGTTATTTTGCCTTTGTGACGTCACAATAGTCCTGCGGTAACAATGATTTATTCATTATGACGAAAAAATTGCACAAATGTGTATGTCATACTAAATCTCCATTTTTATGGGTTTCGGAATTCTTAAAATAAAATCTGAGTTAACAGACAGGTGCGCAGCATTACATAAATACCTATTTTATAAAAAAAAAATTACCTACGCTATTCGGTTATTAGTGTGACGATTATGGTCGTGTTTAACCCAATTCTTTTAAATTTCGCGGCGCACTTGACAACTCGTTAGGGCGCACTTTTTGGGAACCACTGGTCCATTAAATAGAACTACATGTAAGAGAAGGCATGCAAAACAACAAGATTTACTGACTTTGTTAACTTTAAATTCAGATTTAATATACATGTGTCTATTAGCTCTTCACTAAGTATATTGTTAATGCTGGATATATTTTGCTCTTAACAGGAGAGCTAATAATACGGTATTTCGGGTCCCACGGGTCTCATGTGTGCTGTCCAATACCACCCAATAAGACGTTTCCCATGGACAAGCTTGGAGATTTCCCTCGAATACGAAACACCTAACTGACGGCGAGAAGTGACTATTATTTGAAAATTTGCCGATAATATATTCGAATACTTCGAACTTGCTTTGATATTCGAATATATTCAAATATTCGATTCGTTTTGGACAACCCTGTCTCGAATTATTTTAGCCTCTGAAAAAAATCCCTAATAAAGATGGACCGCGAAGTAAAACTAACCGTGAAAGTGGACCGCGATATGAAAAACGTTGAGAAGCACTGACCTATATCATCTACCTTGTCTTGGTACCGAGAAAATAGCAACTACATTTCTATAAGTAAACACGTTTAGTTCAAATGGTAAAATCTACATCCCCGACCATTTGCAAAACCGAGTCCAATCGACTGACTCGAGATATAAATCAAATTCATTTAATGAAATCAATTACCGAAAACAATAATGTACACGCTTGGTTTATCGGATCGCTCCGGGTAAACACAAATTTCTCATTTTCTAATCCAATATTTACGGTATAACAGTCACCGATATGAGGGTTACCTCTAATTCTTGGTTATGGTTATGGTTTTATTGTTTATGCTTCATTCTCTGATCAGATTAGATATTTGAAATAAATTGAATAACATTTTTAGAATCAGTTACCTACTATTCTGACACATTTCGTATAATTGATGATTGATACATACGAATACAATTAGTTCGTTGTTCTCTTATTGGGGCGACCATCGGGTCTTGAATCGTTTATCAACGCTTATAAACAAGAAGATCATCTTGTAGTGAATAATAAATTCATATTTAATATTAATATGACATAATGATTGTGATGGACAGTAATTAGAAAGAAATATTACAAATAAAACGTTTGGTTGGATAAGATCCTAATAGTTCTTTTTTATATTAGAAACCTTTGTTTTATCCTGATTTAAATTGCAGATAAGTTCCACTAATACATATCAAAACGTTCCGTTGCGAAATTACATATCAAGAGCGTAATTTGAAACTGGTTGTTAGACTCAAATTATTTTGCTTATATTTTCAAAAACCATAATTGGTTTAAAATCGTGTTCTGTGGTTTATATTACAGATAAAAATCGGTACACATTTGCATGTATATTTATTGTAAAATTGTTTTTAATGCCTATTAATTCATTCCAATTGCTCACGAGCGAAAGTCCCTTGAAGCACCGTTTCACAATTACATGGAATACACACGTTCGTCAACTTGAACCGCTCATAATTCATCCTATCTGAACGGATAATTAGGTATTAGGTCGAACATTCCGTGAAGAATATTAATATTATATAGACATATCCATTTGATTAATCGCAAAATTTGATTTTTGAGAACATAAGAAAATGGTCAAGTAACCTGATCAATTAATTCACTTGCATGTCACGGCACTATTATTAAAAAACCTGAAGTATTGTGCTCACTGTTCTATGTGCAGTGTGAGTCAAAACGTCTATAAATTTAATCCATATATAAATTGATACCTGTTCATGGTTATATAATAGGTATTGTGTGAATATTAATTGTATGTATTATCTTGGCATTGCATTCCTCGTTATGAAAGTAAAACTCTGACGCATTTGTGATAGGAATGCAGCCTGATTGATTAGTGACATTATTCATTCAATTATTTTTGCTCTCTGTTACATCACATTAATTGTCACGGAGCGGACCGGACTGGTTTTTCCTACAATTTCTCATACTGCTAAATGTCAAAGTCATTTTTTTTTGATAAAGATGACCTTTCCAAAACGTATTCTTGCGGTCAATCATTGCACGATAAGCCATTTGAGGTTCTCAAATGCCACACGTATCGTATATCAATAGTTCATTAAATTTAATTTTTTTTAAGATTTGATGTCCGAGACCGGAAATTAATTGAATCTAATGTGTGAAAAATTGTTAAAACTTCTATTTATTTAACAAGAGAGACATTGATAGGAATCTTATGGTAGATATATATATAGTATAGAATCCCGGAGTACAATAACACAAATCAAATTTTTATAATATTAAATTTTCTAGGCTATATCAATCATTTACATGAAATTTCATTTGTGCATACATGAAACTTCATTCTTGAAAATAAATGAGATCCGATGGCATAGTGTGTTAGGTCATGAGTTTACGAAAGATTTTCTTACATGTAAAAAAAAATCATAACCATAAAATTACGTGTACTCGTATATCATCTACTGAAAAATAACTTTATGCTGCACTTTTACATAAATTATAATTAACTGAGCAGATTTGTTAATTAAATGCTATAATAAAATTTTACAATTCATACCACACATTATTCATACCACATAATTATTGAAGTAACAATTATTCCATCGTTTCAAGACGCATTTTCGGATTAGTCGGTGCAAAAAATCTATTTTATATTCAAATCCGGACTATCTCACCAAAATCTATGGTTTAGTATTTTATATTTTGTATAGTATCAACGACCTATTTTGGCTGTTCAAGTATGTAGATATTGGAATATTTTTATCAGGAACCAGAATCGACTAAAAAACTCAAAATTCCTGCGAATTGTTGTAATGGATAACGACATTTTAATTTAGCGCACGTTTGGCAAAGTGTTTTATTTTCAACTTGGCCTGGACGAAAATATATATCATGCAATGAATTCAGTCTAAATTCACATCGTCTTCAACCTATTTTAAACTCTGCCAAAGACGCATATATAATGTGTTTGAAAAGATAATAGTACCTCCTGGTGCCTTGCCCTACGTGCCGAAATAACCCAAAAATAGATAAGGTGTGACGCATATTCGCAAAACATATACGCGATTGGCCATTTCCTATTGTCAAGTTGTCAATGTCATTATATAAAATGTATGGTATAGGTATTTGGCAGTATATTTTGCCGTGTTTGGTTGCTTCAGGCGTGTACAGTTACGAAAGCAATGAAGCTATTTACCGCAAAAGAACAATTTTCAAACTCAAATCCGAGTTTATTTTACGATTTTGTCAAATGCGAACACAAACCCACACTTCAGGCCCTAAAAAAGATATTAAGAATATCTACATTCTAAAAAATTCAACGACTGTTTATGTCTTCTTGAACGTTATAAAATAAAAAGGCGAATAATCACCCGCGATTGCACACAATCTTCCATGCAGCAGTACATTGCTCAATGTTTCAGATTTTTAAGTGATCAGAAACTTTTGAATCAACGAATAATCGGATTTGGTTTGGTGTATGTGCAAACGATATTATATAAGTGAATTAATTGTTCTTTGATGAGTTCCTTAATGATGTTTTCGTAGTTGCGGCTTAAAAAATTATCTTCTTCCGTTTTAACTCCCGACCATATAAATCCTTTTAGGCTAAAATTTGACAATATAATGTGACATAAAAGCTTTATGATCGCAGGATTAATATAATGTTACGCAAGTAAATAGCAAAAGGATCTATTATCGAGCCTTACGTGTCAAATACAAACAATCTACCTCAGAACAATATTCAAAATTAAAGTTACATGCGATATCACGAGAAGGTTATCAGATACTTAGCGGTTTATCTTGCGGAACTTTATAGAGTAGCAATAACTCGCCATGTGGGTGAATATATTAAAACCGTAACGTTACGTTTCTATCATTATTTATTTCGGTGGTAGGCTGAAAAGTCGAAACATTTTCATCATTACCAGATTATTTATATTTATCATAATTCGACCAGATATGAATGGTAGAAGTGAATCAGTCGAAGGAACCTAATTTAAAAAATTGCTTTTATTATTGTCTGGGAAAATTTGCATCCCGTACATTTTCTATTTTATAAAATTTCTGCAAAAATGACACAACACCATTAACAACCCAACTATGCTGAATTTACTATAGATATATAAACATGTGTGAGTGATTAACATGGTTTTTGATTATTCGTCTAGAGCCCAGACTTTCCTTTTTATACAATTAAAGTATTTTGGAAAATTTTGGTTCAATTTTCAAAGAAGATCTTGAAAATTCGAATATTTTAGTCTATTATTTGTCCTTAGAGGACAATTTTCAAAATCTTGACGTAAAAGAGAACCACCAAAACTTGTGGTCGGAAACCTATATTTAAATCCGATTTAGCTTTTAAATACAGGTGAATAGTTGGTACATGGTTTATTTTTCTTGCTTTGGATTTGTTTTTAGTCTAGATAAATTTGGTTAGACTGTTGGAATTACAAACGAAATAGAATAAATGATTGTTGAAAAAGTTTTTAATACTATTTTCAAATCTTATAGTCGTGAGTCATTTTCAAAAATGACCTATATTTTTACCTCGATATCAACAAAGTACCTATAAATGCATATTTTATAATTGGATACTATAACCAGCACACAATGGCAAACTTACATAAAGTTTGGGAACAATAAAGTATGATATAAAATCTGTATAGAAATCATAAAGACGAGCTCAAGCATTTTATATCGTTTTACCGCGAAAATCAGTGATATTTTAGGAAGTGAATTTTCAAAATATTTTTCTGAAATGTGTCGTGTTTACAAGAAAACACAAATTCTATTACTCAGAGATATTAGCACACAGAACAATGATCCAAACAAATTAGAAAATCCGAAACATTTTATATTAGACTTTGAAGTATAATTCTGGAAGCTGAAAAAAAATCATTTCGCTGTTACACGTGACTACTTCAATTTCGGGCCAAATCTTGACAAAAGATTCACCTCAGTGACGATAACCTAATATTATATTTCTGAATTCATCTGAGTACTCAGTATTCATCATTTCTGAGTATGGCCCACAGTTAAAACACCCTAGTTATACCCCTATATGCTTAATCTGTACTAGATAATGTTTAATTTCATAAAACGCTCCTATGAATTCATGCCCTATTATTAGCTGAGAGTTTTTCAATCAAATCCCCCTTTGGTCGATATATGTGAAAAGAAAAGTCCTATTTTTCATAATTTTTTAATTTTGTGATTTGAATTAGTATATGAAAACTAACCCCTCATCTCTCAGAAGCATAATATCACATAAATATGCAAATGAAATATCATTTATTTAATGATAATTTTTGAAATAAAAGCGTAATATAGCATATTATAAATAAGCCATCTATAAAACAAACACCGGAAATTTTTGCCAAAAAACGTAAACAATAACTCAGATAGATATTGATATATAATTATAAAAATTTAGTTCAAAAATGATCTAGAATAAAGGAACCGGAAATAAAAATTAACTTAATAAAATTCAAGTTCCATTTGTCGGTCGAAGAGACCCGTGATCGTATCAATCTTATTTGTTGTAATATGAGAACGTGGGAGTGTAATTACAATGTATCAATTTATTTCATATTTTTAGTTCATTTTTCAAGTTACAAAAGTCATAGATTTAAAAAAAAAATCAAAATTATACTTGTTTGGGCGGACTGAGGTGAAAAAAAAAAATGATCTGTTTAAGATAGTTTGTGTTTACTTTGCTTTGAATTTGCTACCAAATGGCAATAGTTTCAAATTGCATTCACAATCACTCGAAAATGCATATTAAATATTTTGAATAATTAATCTGCATAAGGAAATTAAGAATCACAGCATATATTATAGGTTGCGCACAAATGGTTGGAATACGATGACACAGCTGATGGAACTTTTCTAAATGTATATACATTCATAGCTTGAGGACAACAAATGTTGTAATAATTACAATAAGTCTCAGCCGTTTCTCTGACATCATCTGGTATGTGAGACAATGGAGGATTGTATATTTCTTCTTGGGGATTGTATATTTCTTCTAGAGGATCGTATATTTCTTCTTGGGGTTTGAAATAATGAGGGTATGGAGGTGTCGATTTAGTAACGGGCTTATAGGGCTGAGTGGGATAAGGTTGGTATGAATCTTTTTCCTGTTTTCCAGAACAGAGGGCCCGAATTTTATATCTTTGACATCGTCCTCTTAGCTGATCTCCATCCCGACAGGTGAACCCATCGTTGGCACTGAATTTATAAAAAACGTCACCGGTTTCTGATGCAAATTTACTACCAGACATCGCTTGAATTGCAACGATCTTTTTACAATTAAATGCACGTTCGTGTACAGATTGTGTTTGGTAGTTCAACTCAGGTGTGACCCATGACGACCAATAAACATCTTGTGAAACTTGGAACGGAAAATCTGTCATTTTTAAAGATCCAACTGGACATAAGAATCGTATTTGTATCACACCCCTACCACCACGAGGAGTTCGTGTTTCATAATCCGAGTAATCTGAGCACATTTCGTCCGTCCTTTCCCTTAACAATGTCGCTTTAATGTTTCTTAGGTCTATTCTCCACTCATTGCTGTGAGTGGTAACAAACCACGGAGTCCACACAGATTCGAAAAAAGATGGAGATTTTTTATTGAAATACGAATAGTCATCCCTCCACAAAGATAAATCCAGAGAATAGACGTTGGAACAGCTCACCATGCGGTTCGGTTTTCCTCTTTTCATTGTTAAAGGTGAGTTCATTACATATTTCATATCTTCTCCTGATTGGCATAGAATGCTAGAAAATGTTGTTTTCCTAATAGCTTCCAATTGGTGCCCAGTAAAAGCTGAAGGAGAGTCTTCATTTTCGTGCCAGAAACGATCTCCTTTTCTTATTCCTCGGAACCCATAAGCTAAAATACAAGCAAATGTAGGACCAACTTCTCCACCACTTACGTGGTTTTCTGCTATCCCTCCGGGGTATAAATCAATGTCGTCAACAACATCATATATCTTTCTAACTTTCTTATTGTCTGAAGGGGGATTTCCGTTGAAAGATCAGAAAACGATTTTGCGCGAGACAGGCCGCACAATTCTCTGTATTTGTTATATCCAGGTAAACCGTGATCCCGTCCTCTCTGTGTGTTAATTGCAAAAAGATCTCCGCCAAAGGATTTTCCAAACTGAGTAAAAAGTTGGTTGCGTAGTGCGTCAACGAGGGTACCATCAGTTTTTTCCGCGTTGTCAATCATGAAACCACGTAATATTGCGCCTGAACCACCGCCAAATCTGTCCAAAAGTGCATCTGATGTGAAAAATGTGCCTTCCGACTTTAAGTCAGGTATGTTTCCCTTGAAAAAACTGTTAACACGACTCAATTTTTCAGCTACCTGACTGTGGCCAAATCTAAATGCAGCAGTTGTAAATTCATTAGTAATACCCAGGTTATATCTTGCATCGTACCCGCCCCAAAATCCAACATCTGGTAGAATTAAATCAAATCTTTTTGACCATACTGGGCCCAGTAGTGGAGGAATGTACTCCCGGTAAGTAATTGATTGAAATATGGCAGAATAGATGTGACGGGCAACTTTGAAAACTTTGTCCGTATTCCAATGTCTGTTGATGGATTTCAGTTCTCTGCCAATATGATTGTGATAACGGGTCATAAGAGTCTGTATCGACTGCAAACCGGGATTTTCATTGACTCTAACGTCACCTGCGACAAAACAAGGAATGTTTACCGGGGTGTGAACTTTCTCTCGGCAGTCAATAGATTTTGAAATGGATGTGCGTTTTAGGTCGTCTTGGTTGGGAAGGTTTCGGTGGGGTCCTCCCACAGGATTTGTTACCATTAGCATTTCTCCTGCGTTGGATTTAGGATCACGAAGATCTCTTGTCTCTTCTTCTGACTTTCCATATATAAATGTAAGATCGATACAACTGGACATGGTGCTAATTTGCTCTCGATGAGAAAATTTACATCTGTTTAAACCAGTTGCACCTTTGGATCGAGAAACTCCCATACACATCTTGTTTTCTAGTTCACGCTGTTCATCTCCGGGTGGAATCTTGATATTAAAGCAATCTTTGTGTGGATTTGCACAGTTGCAATCTAATCTTGATTTATCCTTGTTCTTTATAACAGGTGTATGGACAATATCATGGGCGAGCAACTGGCCAAACAGAACATGTAAATGCGATACGCCACTAGATATATGTTTTCTGGATTCTTTCAACATATTAGACACTGTCCTGGTTGATGGTAACTCTCTAAACTCTCCCTGAGTTCTTGGTGAATCTTCCCCGTCATCGTACTCTGGAGGCAATAATCTCGGCATTACTGTATTGGAAGCTCCCCATGTTGGGTTTTCAACATTGTTACAGGAACCGTCAATATGCGGAAACTCATCTCTTGAACGACAAACTACATTTCTTATTAAACAAGATTTAGTATTTTTCTTATATTCTCTAGTATTTTTAGAACGTCGAGGTTCATTTGCTGATGGCACAAACTTGTATATTTCGCATACTGCCACACCGACCACGACAGCTAAAATAATACCGTGTACATATAGAAGCTTCATTGTGGCTGTTTCCTATGATATGATATTTAGGAATATTGGCCGCAGAATTTATATGCTATCGTGATCTGAGAAATATGAAAAAAGAAAAAAAAATTATCAAATATATCTTTGTACCGTTATTCCGACGTAGCCTGTTGCTCGGAACAATTTTGCCCTAGGCTTTCTTGATAAAAATTAAAAAGGTTTCTTGTCAAGCGTGGGCCAATAAATATTGCAAGTTTAAATGGACGGTCTGTCTATGACAGAACTAGCTACAAAGATCAGCTATAAATAAAAATGTTCGACGTAATTAATAAAATAGGTTCACATAAGAAGAAAGTCGTTTTACAGCGTAAACACTCATTTTACAGCTTAATTTAAGAGTTAACGTATTGGACGTGTAACTTGGAATTGTAATGATCATTTACGAGAGAAATGAAACCGCAGCTGATAAAAAATGTGTAAATAGAAATACTATATATATATATATATACGTCAATATGTCCACAAGCTGAAATCTGAAAATAGAGGAAGTATCTGACTGGACACTGACTTTGTCGGTTTTTATCTCACATTGTGACTATTCTAGTTGTTTGCATTCTGCTATGTGCAATACTTGTTAATTTATAATGTTGATTTTTTCATTCATTAATATGCACTATATATAGGCTTACCATACGTCCCGGTTTAGCCGGGACAGTCCCGGTTTTGACGAGCTGTCCCGGCGTCCCGGCCGGTCGACTCAAATGTCCCGGTTTGTCAGCACGGCTGGCTGTCATGGGTGAAAAATTCATATTCCTTATTGTTACAATTTTTTAACGGTGGCAGCCCATTTACCACTGTTTTGCGACACACTTCGCTAATTCAGAGAGTAAAAAATTGCTCTATTGTTATGTCACAATCGGTATATGTTTTAATGCGTTTTCTGGCGTTAACTACAATGCCGTTAAGTTGTCGAAATGCCATAAAAAAAAGTACAAATTTTCTAATGAGTTGAAAGGAGATTTTCCTTATTTTGCGCAAACTGAAGGAGGAAAGGTACACTGTACGCATTGCAGATCTGTTTTTCTATTAGTCAAGAATAAGATGGTCGTTCTGATGTCAACGATCTTATCCAAAGCAGGAAGCACAAAACATTAATTGAGGCATCGACTCGACTGACCAATTTTTTGCGATAACAAATTCGGATGATTGTTTGTCGTTGGCAGCCGACATTTGCTTATCACACAAAGTTTTGACTGCACCTCTGAATTAATTTTAATTTTTTTAGCCTAAATTTGCATTAACTTGTAAATATACACAGTTAGAATTTCTGATGTCCGCTGTCTGATAAGCGGATTCGCTGATTTTGCTCGTTTAGCCAGAAATAAATGAGAGTCGGTGATTTTTAATTGAATTGCTCCGCTGTTCTCCTCTGAACCTAATGATGATTTACTTTAAACCAGTTTCGTATCAGTAACCTTCGATGCATCAAACAGAAAGAATTTAAAGCTTGTTCCAGTTGTGGTTCGTTATTTTTTTACCTGATGTTGGTGTGAAGATAAAACTATTAGAATTCAAATCCTTACCCAGGGAAACCGCCAAAACTTTTACTGAATACTTGCTCTCTTTTCTCGGAAAAGTTGTTGGATTCTGTGCGGATAATTGCAACATCAACTTTGGAGGCGTAAAAAGACGAAAAACAAATAATGCTTTTTTTCAAACTAAAAGAAATATAACCGGTATAGATTGTGCGTACCATGTAGTTCAACTGTGCACTGCGATGCCATTTTCAACATGTCCTAGATACTTTGCCTGTTTGTGTTGTTGTCAAAATGTATAAATATTATTACATTTACACTGTCCGAGTAACAGAGGAGAAATCATTCTGCGATTTTGTTGATAGTATCAACGGCTATTACAGCATGGCAACACTCGGGTTTTCCCTTTATTACCTGCTTTGCAAAGGATTACAGAACTGTTTGAAAGCTTGATAAGTTATTCAAATTCTCAAGAAGGATGTCCTACTCTTATGCTTAAATGTTCCAGCGTACGAACTTCACTTGAAATTTGTCCTTTGCCAGCTCACCTACTACAACAAAATTATTTTAATTTTGAAAAAAGATAATACTAATGCCGTAGATCAGGGGTCGGCAACTTACGGTTCCAGGGCCGGATCCGGCCCGCAGAATATTATAATCCGGCTCGTGACGTTTCACTAAATTATAGTAACAAAACAGCCGTTTTGACGATTATATTTTTTAAACTAAATTATATTATAACCTAACAAGTATATATTTCACAACTACTCGTTTAATGAGCCTATAATTTAATTATAATTAGACAAATGGCAACAAAACGCAGAAAAATGATGCGAAGTGCAAAGGGTTCAATGGCGCTGAAAATATTCAAATGCAATTTTTTGCGATGCAATGAGGAAATAAATCTATATTCTATTCGAAAGATGTATTACTGCTTGATTTTTATTATAAAAAGTATCATTCGTTCGGTTTCAGCTTTCTAAAAATATGTACGGCCCGCCAATGACTCGCAGCCCTTAATTTTGTCCCGCGAGCGACAAAAGGTTGCCAAGACCTGCCGTAGATGTCAGAGGTGAAGCTAAATTTGAAGGAAAAAGGGTGAAGACTGTTAATTCCGTCGCAACCACTTATACTTCTAGAATCTTTGGAACGCTCTGGCGAAATCGATGTAACTGTATTTAAAAAGAATGTTTGCGGTATATAAAGCTGCATGATGAAGCCTAAAATGCTCCCCAGGCCCCACATATGGACAAATTATGGGTAGTGTAATTTTGTCTGAAATTTGAAACATTATTCAACCGTTATCTGTACCAATAGTGTATTTGAGAAAAACAACACGATACGCTGGCGTCAGGTTTGGCATTGTGACGTCCAATTTTTCCTAGATATTCTGTACTATACTGTCATCAAATAATAATAAAATATACATCAAGAATAAGTTCGACTATGTGGAAAAGAAAATCCATACAATACTACAATGACACACACATTCAACGGAATCGTTGGTTTCAGAGTAAAGTATGGTCATTTCAATCTGCTCTTTATTACCACATAGCGGTTATTATGGACAGTTTGAAAGTCCAAATGAAACACACTTGAAAACCTGTTGAACGCACACGAGAGACTTTTACAAAGTGTTGTCATGCAGAATATTCATTAATGATAAAACTTCAGTTTGATAATAAGGTATGCATATGAGTATAAATTGCAAATGAGTTGTGGAAAACAAAAGTTATATACTGACAAAATTCCCAAAGTCACATTCAAGAAAACATGGAAAGGCTAAATAAAATGCTTTTTTTACATTACTCGCGTGCTCTCATTGTGTTTTTAAAATATTTTCCCTATGATCTCATAAAACTGCACTAAACTAACAACACTGAATACATTGATATTTCAAGACAGTCAAATCTCTCCCTAATAGAAAAACTTCACAATTCTAATATATTAGAATATCACCAAAATAAAATACTTTATCTATAATATAGACCGAGACCAACAATCGCCCAAACCTGTTCTTAGTAGTTTGTTCTGCATAGATATATTAGCACAAGTCTTCCACAAATAAATATTGCCCAAAGGCGAATCAGCCCTTTGCACCTTTCAAGTCGGAACCATAATTTTGATTACGACTTATTTATGTTTTAAAATTAATGTAGATCGTAAATGTCCACTGCACGAGTAACATGAGTAACGAGTGATTTTTTACACACAATACAAAGCAGTTTCAACCCGCACGTCATTCTATTTGGTACTTCCGCAGTATGTGTCCGAGATGGCGGACACCAGGACGTAGTGTGTGTACCTGGTTACGGTTAGGCCATAATTCCAAGTACATATACTACGAGAGTCACCTGGCTAGTCCCCGAACTCGTAATAGAACTAAAATAAGAAAAATTGGACTAAAATTATGGCCTCACTCTAACCTTGTACATATACTACGTTCCGGTGTCCGCCATTTAGGTTCACATACTTTGGGAGTAGCCTACCTTCTATTTATTATAGGCTTTGAAAGCGCCGGTTTCAGAAGCTGTCCTACAAACTATTTCATGAATTCCGTGAATCTTAGTAGACATCACCCTTTAAAAATATTTCAATTTGTTTTGATTCTCAAGTATTCTTTATATTTTGAAACTCGACCATCTGAGCCATCTATATATTGTAATTTCATACGAAATATTTCATTTCTTTTTATCAATGTACACTTGCAAGAATGTAGCCATATCACCTTTCTAATTCCATAATTGCAACTAAGTGATTCAGTACCAGTAACAAAATGATACCGGTATCGAAAATATCGCATGGATACGGAACTGTTTGACTAGATACTTGGGATTAACTTATTCAGTGATCAAATTTTTTTTTTCGGAAAGATATATTAAATCGTGTTATAAATTGAGTAATTCATTCATGTTTGTGTTGTTTAGCGTTTGAAATTGTTTATTTTTTGGTACTTATTTTAGTCTTTGCAGTGATATAGGCTTTTTTACATTTCTGAGTATTTTTTTTCCCAGGAAGGCCACCCATCACTGGTTATACCAATTGGTATTGGTCTCATGTTTCAATATTAATTTGATTTTCAACCAGATATGGAAAAAATACAGCAAAGTGACAAGAACGGATAATAAAATTACAACGGCTTATCACGTTTTTTTTCGTTCTTCATCGGAAAATGCTGGTCAAAAAAGAAATTTTATAAATATTGTTATCGAGCTTGTGTTTGGAATAAATGAAAAACATCATTTTTTCTCAGTTTCTAAGATCGGTATTCTTCGGGACACCATTTTAATATGTCGAGTTCTGGTAATGGTGATTTCGACAGAGATTCGACCTTACCTGGTATGTAGATCTGCGTTTGCGTTCAGTATCATATATCCCTTGTAATATTATAGAAACAAAGCGTACCAGATGTGTCTCGTTTATCAATTCAGTTTACGCCACCTTTATTACATACTTGCTACAAGCTGTTTCATTAGAAGTTGATTTTTCAAATAATAGGTCTGAAAATTAGAATGATTGTTTGATAAAATTAGGGTTAATGTTATGGT